TCATCATTCTTCGCAATATGTATATTTGGCTTGTTGTCATTCTAGCTATCTGAGCGGTGTTGCCATTGATAGGTTTTGTGACCGACTAGACTCTATATTTAGCTTTTCTCCTTTCCTGGTTTCTTAAAATTGGCGCCCTTATGAGGTTTCATCTTTTTGTTCGGATTCCCTCATTTCACAGTCTTTTTGAACTTACACCCTAAGATAGTACCAGATTCAACCAAGTTGTGTTTAAAAGACATATTACTAAATAAACTTGCAACCTTATCCTTTATACGATTGGCCTCCTCGATTTTCATGTGGCCCACCAGTTCTTCAAGTGAAATATATATCTTCTTATATTTGAGAAAGTTGTGGTAGTCAGACCAGGACTTGAGCAACTTTTCGATGAGGACATGGGCTTGGAGTACTTCACACAATTGTATTCCTTCAGCAACGATGTCATTCGTCAGATTCTCATATTCATGAACTTGATCCATTATGGGCTTCTCGTCCGTCGTTTAGAATTTGAGTCATTCTCCGACAACGTATTTTTTTTTATGCTTGCATCGTCAGTACTTTACTTCTTCTCAAGAGTGTCCCAGATCGCCTTGACACTTCTTTCTCTAAGGAACATGTCAAACAATTTGTTAGACATGTGGTTAAAAAGATGTCCTTGCATCGTCTTATTATCCTTGTCGTATTTCTTAGTAGTAACGACAGTCGCAGCAGCAGCGGCTAAGGCGACATCATATTGGACTACATCGGTATTGTCTCCAATAACTGAGCTGGTCGATGGAATAGTAGGTTGTGGCTTGAGCAAAACGTAATCCAGGTCAAGTTGCTCGAAGAATATCAATATACGTTGGGACCACCTCCGATAATTCTTTCCATCGAGTGGTCGAGCTTGGAAAGATCGGGAATCAGCTTGCTCAAAGGTGATGTCATATTTGCAGTATATGAATTCGGTTCTAAATTGTTAGTAAAGTTGACTGCAAAATCACACCATTAACACTGACTGAAAAAATAAATAAAAATAAATATTTGATTAACCAAAATGTGTCGTGGTAAAAACCACTACCTTAGAAACGAATGCATCCTGTTGTGTACAATCGTTCCAATAGTTGGATCGTCCCCTAGGTTAACACGGTCGCTCCAAATTCTGTACACTTAGAACCGAAGTAGACTGCTGGTGGTTCTGCTCCTCTGATCGTCGGAAAAACTCAGAAGCTTAGAAAGCTTTGAGAGAGTTGAGAGATATTTGAGTGAATTGTGAGATGAGTTGAGAAGCCAAATGAGCTATCTATTTATAGGCTAGATATAGGGCCATTTTCGTCCAACACAACTTATAAATAAATCTGATTTTATTTCCCGAAATTAACTCTGTGTAACTGCTATCTTTAAACAAATAAAGTTGTTTAATTAAACATATGAATCTGGCTCTCAAATCGTCCGATACATTGTATAACTCACAGGCTCAATTATTATCTTCAATAGAGACGTAAAATTGGTCAGGTTCATTCTAATGTTTACATATTACTTTTAGAAATCAATATAGCTAATTAAATAGTTGTTACTCTCTGCAAATAGGGCCATTTTCGTCCAACACAAATCATAAATAAATATGATTTTATTTCCCGAAATTAACTATGTGTAACTGCTATCTTTAAACAACTGAAACTGCTGAATTAAACAGATGAATCTGGCTCTCAAATCATCCAGATGCATTGTATAACTCATGCCCAATTCTTATCTTGAACAGAGACGTAAGATTGGTCAAGTTCATTCTAACGTATACAGATTACTTTCAAAAAATTGTCTGTTTAAATTTCATAAATCAATATAGCTAATTAAGTAGTTCTTACTCTCTGCAAATATAAAATTCGTACAAACTTAGTAAGTGAAAATTTCCTTACGAATTTTTTCTAAAAAGATAGCAACCACGTAGATGTGTCGAAGACACATATTACCACGAGCCTGAGCCTAGACCACGTCCACGAGCCCGATCCGAGCTGAGACAATAAGAATGCTGGTAGTGGTGGTGACAGTGGTGCGCAAGAAGCCCCCTTATTCTCTATCACTCAACAAGGGAGTGGAGAATAAAAACCTTAAATACTCAATCCCAATGTATTTCTCATTCTATGTGGGATTGAGCATTACTAAGATTGGTTAAGGTTGTTGTATCAACCCAAAAAGTCATTTGGTCCAAATAAATCAAAATAAAACCAATAGTTCAAGAAAATCAAGTTTCAAGAATGTTGAGTTGGTGCACCCACATATAAGAAATGATGAGAAGTTGATAGAATGCTAGTAAAAAGGGTAAAGAACACATGAACATTGTTATATAATGATTACATTAGTTTTAACATATTGAAGAAACTGCCTTAACAGTTCTAACTGCTATCAACCACTCTAACAACAAAAATAGTTTAACTATATACATTATTAACATTCTCTCTACGCTTTTCTTTTTCTCTGAAAAAAACTATGCACTTTAAATCTAAACTCCTCAAAGGAAGTTTTTGACAAGGGCTTGGTAAAGTCGTGAACCACCTAATGACTTGCTGGTACATAATTCACAACCAACTGCTTAGTTGCCACCTTCCGGACAAAGTGAGCATCATGATCAATATGTTTGGTCTTTGCATGATAAACAGGTTACTACTCATAGCCATTGCACCACTGTTATCACACCAAACTATAGGAGAACCTTATTGGTCAATCTTCATATCTGATAGAAGAGCACAAATCCATGACACCTCCGCTGTTGTATCTGCTACACACCTATATTCAGCTTCATTGGTGGACTGAAAAACAATTTTTTGTTTCTTCGAGGTCCTCGAAACAAATTTGTCTCCAGCAAACACACAGCTACGTAAAATAGACCTCATATCATCTAGACTACCTCCCCAATCTGTACCCGCAAACACTGTCACCATCACCTTCGCATCTCCAGGCACCATGACCAAACCATACTTCAAATTACCTACAAAATAATATTCTCCTGACACCAAGCATATGAAAATGAAGAGGTGCATGCATATATTGTGCCACCTTATTCACACTAAAGGTGATGTCTGGTCGCGTGTGGCAAGCATATAGCAACGAACCCACTTTACTTTGATACTTACGAGCATCATCCAATAGTTCTCTAGCATCCTAAGTTAGTTAAGACAATATCATAGGAGTCGAGGCTGGATTGACACGATCCATCTTAGCTCGCATCAACAGTTCAAGATGAACTTTTGTTGGCTAAGAACAAGAGTCTCACCCACTTTTTTCACCTCGGAACCTAGAAAATATCTTAGCTCACCTAGATCCTTCAAAGAAAACTTAACATCTAAAAGCCTAACCACACGTTCGATTTTCTCGTTCGAAGTCCAAGTCAGGATAATGTCATCCACATAGATCAACATAAACATGTGTTCTCCTTCAATGTGTCAAACAAACAAGACGAGTCTGTCCTAGACTCCTTGAACCTTAGTTGAACCATGTACTATTTTAATCTCTCGTGCCAGTTCCTTGGTGCCTGACACAGGCCATACAATGCCTTGTTCAACATGCATACCAACTGACTACCATCTTCAGTCCCTTAATTTTAGAAGGAAGCACTCAACTGACATATTCACATGCTAGTAGTTTGAGAGGCAGTGTTTCTGCAATGGGATTCCAAAATGGGACTACTTTATCTGACTTTACTTTCATATCTCCTACTTGTTATAGTATAGAATAAAGAAAGGAGAGGCAATACTCTCTGAATTTTATTGAATCATAACCCTCTAATATCTCAAGAGAGACCAGGAAGCTTTATCCAAGTTGAGAGAGGCTAGTCATGAGGTCAAGGCTGTCTAACAGAAATCCTAACAACCTAACAACTCATGCCAGCAAGATGAACGGCTTAACAGCCTAACCATTCATAACAAACTCACACATTCATAACATCATAACACTGTTCCCAATCAATTACGGGTTCAAAAGCAGATATACACGGCCACACATCCACAATCCTCTGTAATTCAGGACAAATAGTCAGAAACATGGGCCAATGCTTGGGACCAAAATAACCCAATTTTCAATAGAAACATGAATCTTTATTCCGTTTAACTTTTAAAATTTTGTTGATCCAATATCCATCAATTATAATAAAGGTGAAAACGTTTCTATGGAGCCATCAGTTATTGAAGAGGATGGGTATCTTATGGTCCTACCTAGGGTACAGGGAGGCTACATACTTGATAATTTGGAGCCATCAGATATGGAGAATGATGGATACCTTATAGTCCAACCTAGGCCACTGGGGAGTTACGTTTCTGATAATATTGGCTCATTGGAAGATCTAGCAAGTGCAATGATAAAACGAGTAAGAATCATATCTATTTTCTTTAGCTGATGTTTGGATTATATGTTCACAGTTCTAGCCATCAAATTTGCCAGTACTATAGGTACTCAAGGAATAGGATATGGATGCATTTATCATTTTAGGCGAATATTTCTTAAACAGAGAATTGATTATTTCCTTAAAAAATTCATAAGCAATCTTCCTATAATATGCGAATCGTTTTTTAGAAAGAAACCAGATGAGCCTGAAGAAGTTATTAGCTTTATCTGTTTAAGTAAACCTCTTGTTAGTTGCTATTGGATATTGGTCACCGATAACGACACCTGCATCAAAGCTGCATATTCGATTTGGACCATTTATGCATAGAACTATGATGGTGAGCAATATCTTTGTTTCGATGCAGGGCCAAGATAAAGCCGAAGTGACAGACAGTGATTTATTGTGCGATGCTTATTCTCTCGGGACTTGCATCTAAGATGAGAACGTAGCCACTTGCAGCAACCGAAGGATCTGCAATGCAACTATGCAAGAACTACTCTTCTTGATAGTTTTGCCTCATGTAACTGATAACTAATCGAATCTGTTGTCTTGTTTCTACCTTTATCAACCTCCACTCTGTTCTTTTCTTGTCTGTTCCTTGCAATTTTTGCTGTTATTTATCGCCTAATAATATCTTAAGAGCTCAGTTTTTCTGGCTCTGGTTCACAAGTTCAACTTCCCCTGCATTGCTTATGTCTCCAAATTGAAAACGGGAAATGTGCTTTGCTTCTTGAGCAACATTATTTCCTACGTAAACAATTGTATTTGAAATATCCAGGTCTCGAAATAGTGAAACTAAGTGAAATTATCACCCTTTAGGATCTCCCCCTTTTAAACAAAGAAAGAAGAAAAATTGTGTTGCTATAAAAGCTGGATGTAATCATTGCGTGGTGGCTAAAACTATATCTAATCTACATTTTCTGGTAATTCGTTAAGGAAACTATCCTATGTCTAAAACTTTAAAGGAAAGAGAAGAATGATGCCTTACTATGATGGGTTTAACTGTCTTATATACGACAAGTTGAGAACGGTGCTATATGAAGAATGACTTCTGGTAAATAGTGAATAGGCAATAACTATTCTCAACCAATTTTATACCGCATGAAATTACAGCTTACCATTTATATCTAGGCTTAATTATAAAATAAGCGTCCAAACAATACCGTTTTTTCCAAATAGGTGTTTAAACTTTTTTATGAATCATCCAGGTGCCTAACGTTACAAAACTTACCACTTTAAGTGCATGGGTCGTAATTGTCGTGAAATTCTACCGTAAAAGGACACATGTCACATTGTGATAATTTTAAATAATTTATCTACAATTTAAAAATTAAAATTATATTAAAAACACAAAATTCGAAATACTTTGAAAAAGTCTCAAAACTTTGAAAACTCTCATTTTAATCCCTAAATCCACGTTGGCCGCTAGCCTTTGTCGTCAACAAAGCTCCACCAAACTTAACCTCCACTCGACAATCGATAACCCTATTAAATCGTGACCAATCAACGGTCAATCGTCGTTTGTACCTTTGAACCCTACGCAAAAAAATCGCAACCTCACGTGATCTTGACGGTCAATCGACGACAAGTATGGCGGTGTATGACTAGGAAGATGGCAGGGACTACGTCGGCGACGGTGATCATGGTCGACGATCGGCTGGTTAGGGTTAGAGATTTTTTTGGATTTTTTAATTTAAGAGAAATTAAAGTTTTTTTATAAATATAATAATATTTTTATAAAAATAAAAATAAAAATTTCAAAATTACTAGAATGTGACAATGTCACTTAATGGAGAAATTTAACGGCAATTACAATCTGGACACCTACAGTGGCAACGTTTGTCACCGTTAGGCATCCGGATGATTCAAAAAAAATTAGGCATCCGGATGATTCAAAAAAATTTAGACACTATTCAAGAAAAGTGGTATAGTTTGGACATTTATTTTATAATTAAGCCTTATATCTACTGCTAGTAAGTGGTCAATCGCTTGGGAATGGATCCCTATTGACCATACCTTTGGGATTTCTGAAACCTTTGGTCTGTTCTTTTGGCTCTACACTTGCCACTTCATATGTTTTCAACTCAGCCTAGGAGCAAACAACAAGCAGCATTTAAATTGAATGTTCATCCAACAGCTAAACATCCAATTTAGCAATGTAGATTGAAAGGGGGATGGTACAACATCATTGTATGCATTATGCAGTATTGACCATATACGAAATAAATGCAAAAATAGGAGCTCATCACTAATTAATCAATCTCAGTGCATGAATGCTCATTCCCATGTCTCCAGAGAAATAGCAATCTCCACTTGTGAAAGATGCACTGCCTCTCTAAGGGGAGACGTTTCCCCGACATTCATAGCTATAAAGAGATGACAATCAAGTGTATTATGCCCACACTAAAATAATAGGATCAAGACCTCAAGAAGTTTAGTATTAACAAAAACAAATTGTTTTGAAAAGAGGAAACAGACGAAGAGGATATAATCTAATCCGAATGCAATACGAATTGTTAAAATTATTATTGAAACACTAACTGCATGATTTATACATGACTTCAACTAGGAAACCAGTTAAGGTTTAAGTTACAATGCAAGCAAAGGAGACAAGCTCACAATCAGATAAACAATCATTTTTGCCAAAGTATACAAAGAAAATTAAGTTTCACACTGAAAGCAGTCTACATCCATCATTACTTTCTTCCAATTATTTTTCTTCTAATTACTAGTATTCTGTCCATTTTCAACCCCTAGACCGTACAATACGTCTGCATATTTCTCCGTGGAGCCATTGAAGAAGTTATCTCTCAACTTCCTAAATGTGCACGATGTTAGCAAACTATCCGAGCCAGCTTGATGACACACACCGACTCTTTCCACTTCCAACAACTCTGCAAGCTTGTTCAAACCACCATGTAGGCTATTGCAGAACTTCAACATATGCTTGATATCGTACAACATGGGAAAATACATATTGATGAAGTCAAAGAACCCGGCTTGATTATCAGGCAAACTCCTGCAAGTCAAAAGCTTAAGCAAGTACCCAAAGTCATATCCACTATGAAAAGTTACGCAATTCACAACATCATTCAGCACAATCCCGGACGACATCAAAAGCTCACCAAACCGCTTCACATCAATACCCTTCTCATTGTTCTTCTTAAAATCAATCCCGCACTGGAGCAACAACTCGATCGAATCACTAGCAAAGATGTCTTAGCTTATATCGAACTCGCAGAAATTGAATTGCCAAACGCAAGAGCTATCAGTTCCACAGGTGGGAAGATTCCCATTCTCATCCGAAAAAGTGAGACCCAACTGGATCAACTTCAACATATCCACGTTATCTTTCAAAGATTGGCAGTTGTAATCATTGATGTTCTTGAAAGATCCAACAGGACGGAGAACTACACCCGGGAACTCAGTATCCATGGCCACATAATTGTATGTATCAACAATTTCACGGATCAATGCAAACTCTTCTTCTAGATTATCATTCCAAACTTCTCGAATATGAACCGAATCACTTTTGGGTAAAACCGACATTTCCATTAGACCAAAACAAAGTTACGCGCATCCAGATTTCAAACCTTGATAAGTGAATCTTGTCCGAGTTCAGTTCCAAAAACAGTCGCGGTTTGATGGTGAAGGCCAATCTGAAAACAAAGAAAAGGGGAAAATCAGATTTTGAAACTTCGAAGTATGAGAGTTCGTAAAGGAACCATATGAAAAGAAAAAAAAAAGTGAAGAAGGAGACGATATCTAACCTTGTGACTACGAAATCGGGCCTTGTATTTAGCACATCTAGAGCTTGTAAAAAGTGATCCGAGTTCCGTCCTAGTCGAGGAATTTGGGTCAACGAGTTAAAAGGGAAATGGGGACGACGTTACAGTCCTATATTTTCTGGGTTCATCTTAAGGAAAGGAAAGGAAAGACAAGTGATTATTAGCATGGGAAATTGATTGAGCCAACGAGGGACAATGTCAAAACGATGGCGTTCCAACCTGCATGTCCTTTTGATACGAAATCGTTCTTGGTTGGCTTTTACAGTACTAAAAAACCTGCTAAAATGGGAAATGTGTTTGTCGTGGTGATATTCACATCGGAGTTGGGACTGTTCTAGAAAGAAAGGCATAAATCCTATTGACCCAAACAAAACAAAAGCCATACATCCTTCCACGTTGTCCAAATGCGATTTTGTTCTTGAACAAATTCTCCATGTACTGTGCTATAAATTAAAAGACTAATCAAATAATATAAAAATTAAAAGATATTATTATAAAGGGTTTAAATGATTAAATTATAAAATAAATAAATAATTTACACATAATATAAGTACTATTAATAAAATTCAACTTAACATGTTTTATAGATATTGTTTGACTTAAAATTAAATATTACTAGATTAAAATATAAAAATCACATCCGCATTTTATACAGAACACTTGATCTAATATATATAATTTAATTTAATATATTTCACAAATAGATTTTAGATCGAAATTTAATTTTATTAAAATTTATAAATTAAATATTATGAAATCGGAATATAAGGGCTAAACCTACATACAATATGGCATTAGTGTGTTGCCTACTACTATAACTTAGGGGTTGTTTGATAAAATAAAACGATTAAACGTTGAATGATTCAATGGTCTGAATGATTCAAAGGCTCTGTATGAATTGGCTCTGAATGTGACATGCTGTTTGATAATGGTTTTAAATGTACAATATGAATTATGAATATTTTCATTTTTACCTTCATAATGATTTATTATATTATAAGATATGATTGTTTAATAAGACAACATGTGAAAAAATAGGTATTATGGTCAGATACCGGGTGCTTAATGATTCATAATGTACTTTAATACTGAATCATTCATCAGTGTTTTGTTGTTTCATTCAGCAGTGTTTTGTTGTTTCATTCAGATGTGAGAATCAAACAAGTTAAATGCTGAACGGTTCAGCATTCAACGTTGAATGGTTACATTCAACGTTGAATGGTTACATTCAACAGTAAACAAACAACCCCTTAACTTGTATTTTAAAAGTTATAATATAAAAATAAAAAATATATATGACAGCTTAAATATTGGTTTTGTTTAAAGTAATGTCTTTAAGCATTGTTTAACAATATGTTTTGGGGTGATAAATTAATTAAATTGGTGGAATATTTCATACGAATATAAAAATCAATTAAGTGCCTAAGGATTAATACTTCCGTCAAATTACTGTTGCTGTAGTGAAAAACATGTATTTTAGACATTGACGAGTCAAAATTGTATGGGTAGTTCTAATGTACGGCCGTTTAATATAAGGTTAAGGAAATACGTTATCGGAAATATTAATATTTTTTAACATTTTTAGTATAGCGTTATCTAAAATGTTATTTTTTTTACCGAAAATATTAATTTCGCTACCTAAAATGAATATTTCCGATATTAACATTTCTGATAGAAAAAATAACATTTTATGTAGCGTCTAATATTAATATTTCTAGTAAAAAATAACGTTTTATGTAATATTATATCAAAAATATTAAAAATATATTAACATTTTTTTTAATTTTATGTTAGACTTTCTTTAGATATCCCTTAAACCAGCCCGACAACGTAATTGGACTGAGTGGACCTTACAGTTTTTCGATATGAAGTGAATGAGTGTATAAGTTAGGTGATTGTTTAATAGTGGAACTAACAATGGTTTCCAATTATTCGCCTCAAATTCATTACGTGTTCGCACCGTGCCATTTCACTTGCGTCCTTTCCTTTTAGGGTAAATTATAGAATGATAAATTTTAAGTTGACTATTATTTTCTTAAAAATATTTAGTAATTAAATTATCTCATTATTTAATTTATTTCAACTAAATTAATATATGTTAACATTCTATCAATTTATTTTAAATTTTAATTTAGTTTATTAAGTTAATCATAAAATCAAATCATGACACATGACTTTAATGATACGTGTAAATATAAAATTAGATAATCGTAGTTTCTGTATTTATCAATTTAGATTTCTAGTTATTATTTATTGATATTATATCTAATTTTAATTACTTATTTAAATAATAATCAATTTAGATCAAGAAGGGATACAATTATCCCTAATACCAAGTTAGCATAGTCACGTAATGGTTGAGCATTAAGCTTTACCCCACCAAACATGATCCTTAAGCTGTATCGCGAATTTCTTTGCTCTTCCTTTTTATGACTGGTTGTGCACAAATTTAGTATCAAATATTTTGTTTGATTGTTTTGATGTTCCTTAAAAATTTCTGTCTTATGCATTCATATGGCAAATATGGAAGAGGCATAACAACTTTGTATTTATTGATATTTTTCGACAAAAGGACGTGGTATTGTATTATAGTTTAATTAAATTCGATACATCATTAGTTGCCAAACTTCTAATGCTAATCATCATTTGGGCTACGCTGAAGATATAATGCGGCAAAGGCCACCACAAGGATGGTGTTGCTCCAATACTGATTGTATTGTTGCATCATCTAATAACATCGACACTCTTGGGGGAATCATATGGGACTATAGTGGTAGTTGGTTACTTGGATTTTGAAAAAGTGCAGGAGTCTCTAATGTCCTACAAGTAAAGTTGTGGGGGCTACTCGAAATGTTAAGTTGCACGATTAGTGGAAGATTAAGAGATTGATAATAGACTAATAGCTTTTATATAAAAAAAACATTGGATGAGGAAAATATAATAGAGTCATCGTGAAAACGATATGATAATTGACGAAATTACCAAACCGATATACTTTCAACACTTTCATATAATCAATAACCATGTAAGTTGTTACTCTAGAAGAGATTCAAGACTTGGTTGTAAGAAATATTTCTTGCCATCTTTATTATAGAATTGTTACTGGTCCAAATTTCATAAAATTTAAAAATATTTTTTTTAATATGATAGTACGGCATATTATCAATTAATCACATGAGATAATATTATATCATCGTTACATCTTAAGTGATTTGGTTTATTCAACAATAAATGTCAATCATTAGTCAATAACTTTTATTTAAAAAATATTTTTAAAAAGAATAAGACATTATAAGTTAAACAATTAAAAAATTAAAATAATTATTCGATTAAATATTGAAAACAAGATTCAATATTATGCATATATTTTGAGTTAATTATATACAAGGCTTAAAATATGTGAATATTTCGGGGTCTAACCTCTTCCTTTTTGGCATTCGACCATAAAGAGACGAACAGTTGGTATCCCATAGAGTTAGTTGATCTGAATGTTAGAGTTGGTATGCATAATATTCCACTTATTTGATGGGATGGTTAAGAGATTATCTAAAAAGTAGGATTTCGCGTGGTACATTAAATATTTCGAACAAATCTTGAAATTTGAAACTTCCCATTATCCAATAAAAACTTAAAATTCCTAATAATAAACCAAAATCGTCTATCCGATTAGTTACAAATGCTTTTTGACAAGCGTTTGCCGCTGTGGGTCGTGTGAACCAAAACCCTATTAATACATAAGAAGACATTCCAACTAATTTTCAAAAAATATAAATTTGTATCAAATTCGATCTAGTAACTAATCCCAACATTGAAGTATTGAACAAACTCATATAAGCAAAATATCTCAAATATGCTTGATCATGTGACATATAATTGTCACTATAAATAAGAACAAAATTCCAACTGTAGTGATTAATATTGACATAATAGAGGTAAGTGAATCAATAAAGTAGCCAAACTCGAAAGAAAAATAATTATTGATGGTCCAAGACCATACATATTGATAGATAGAACTTCCATTTATTTGTTGAATAGACAGATCGACCGAAAAAATCTTAACTAAACTTAACAATAAAATATTGGGAGGAGGAATCGGCCCACGTCGGCTTACTGATGGGATGCCCTAATGTGTTACAAAATTTCGCCTTAGATAATGATCCGATAAGAGAAATAATTGGAATTCTTGTATCCAACGTCTTCATTGCATTATCTTTTATAAATGAATTTTATAGCATTTGACTCCGTACCACTAAAGGATTTAATCGTACACTTGAAAGATAGCCGAGAAAGTTGAGAGAAAATTCTCGTATAAACAGAACTTTTGTT